TTCATCCTTGCTTATAACTCTTCGGTGGTATACGCCCACTACACCAACAATTATCAAACTCGTGACCTTCAGATTACTAGATGGAACCAAGTGACCATTCAGTCGCTTCAGCCGGAATTCAATGACACATGAAACCCAACACTACTGTCAACCAGTGCCATCTATGTTGAAAAATTTCAAACCAAGACAGTTCAGCTGTGTGATGCTCCCAAATCTCCACTGGTTCTGTAACTGCTATTTGTTTCTGTAAATATTTACATAGAAACGATATAATTGTCTGCCCTGATGACCTTGATCGTGTTTAGTTATTATTCTGCATATGTAGTATTGATTATTTTATTGACATGAAATTTGACTTTTTCTGTCATATGACTTATTCTTGATTAATTGATAAATTTGGTCTATAATTAGGTGTCTGTTGATTGAAGAGTCCCTTGAGTACCAGGAGTATAGGAGAAGTGAATTAATTTATCAGAAAGAGGATACTGTCTCATTAACACTATCTGTGGTATAAATGGGCAATGAGCAAATTAATTTTATTGCATTTTTCAAAATATAAAATTACTTATGATATTCCTTCGTAGTACCACATTCGATATGATCACTATAACTGAACACAGTGTCTTTATTTGCCATATGGTCATGCAAAAATTACAAAAAAACAGGAAACAGCGTTTCTCTTGCATACTCACTATATTCAGATAACAGCATGTGCTCTGCCTTCTTCTTCTATAAATGTTAATCAAAAGAGAGGGTAAAGTGGCAAGACGTTGTATACTCCTGACTAAAAATGAGTAATCAGAGACCACTCAAAACCAGGTAGTAGTTTAGTTTGAAGAAAGTGAGAAGGAGCAAATTCTGTAGGATAAACACAGCTCATAGATTCTCCGCTCAACAACTTTTCATCAGATATTAACAGCCTAGAGAATTACACTGCTATTAAATGATCTCAGTATAATCTCTGTATTCAGAAAGGTAGTATAACCTTCACATATTATAACGACTAAAACCAAAGTATTGTGGTCTTAGTCAATAGAGTCAATAGAAACGCTCAGTCTCACAGTACTATTTAGCTGATGACGACATTTTGAGCTTAATGTATTTCCCATTGTCATATCATCAGAATGCTCACACAGCCTTTAGATTTGCATTCCTAATCTTCTTTATATCGTATTTTTTTTATTCCTGTATCGGGTGATAATTCAAAGTGAAATATAAACCTTGGTCGCATCAATACTGGAACTACCAAACTTCATAAATTAAATCTTCAACGTTGAGGTTTGCATTTCACCTTCAATATCATCATCATCATCATCATCATCATCACTCGTAAACAAATGTGGAACAAAGACAGTCTGTTATCGAATTCTTCACACTTCAGAAGCCCTCACAAGATGCATCGGAAAGTCAGAGCTATGTGTTCAGAAGAAACTGATTGAAGCTGCACATTTAACATAGATCTAGTTCTGTGGTGAGAGCTGGCTGTTAGCCAAATTTGATGGACAGTAATTTACGTCAATCTTTATGTCCCAAATATTGGTCGCGAGAAAAATGAGAACAGAGGCTTTGCGTAGGCGGATACAGTTAACATAAAGATGATCTGACATTCAAGAAACAGCCACAAAGAGATGCAAGGTTAACTTTCTGTGGGAAAAAACCAATCAGAGGACTGTGTTTTTCTGCTAACAATAATATATAATATGTACATGAAAATCTATAAATATGTGTTGATTTCCTTAATAAACGATCTGTTACCTGGCGCTTGTCTTCTGTCGTTACAATTATAGTAACGGGTGCTAGCATACATAGACATTTAGTGTTTGTGCTTTTCACTAATTGCCAGCTTAAACGAATTTAGTCACTAAATCAAATTTCTGAATAATTAGTTTATTTAATAATAATAATTTTTCCTTCACGTTCCCAGTGGAACATAGGGCCACTTCAAGCTAGTGGCTTGAAGTTTCTGTAGCAGGTTTTAATTTTTACAGGATGGGGTTGCTAGCCTCATGCCCAACCTTTCCTCTTTACCGGCATTATTTCTGGCTCAGTAAGGTAAAGGAGTGCGCCAGCCGGGGTTCGAACCCCGGACCATATGCATGGTCGGCGAGCGTCCTAACCGCTATACCACCGACGCATTTAGTGTAAATTATTAGTTGAAAATTACGAAGATCAAAAGAAGGAAAAGAAAACAAACTGCACTTTCATATACAGTTTTACGTATATCTTAAAAAATTTTCACATTATTTTGTCCTATTACATACAAATGTATTAACTTTGAAAAACTTCACTTAGTCTACCAACCTGTTCAATGCCTGCAAACAAGAGAAGGTTATGAGTGTGGTTAGAAACTTTGTCCCATAAGAAACGAACCCATATGTATGGGAACATCAAAGCGCAGAATAAGATAAATCTATTCTCCCCTGGAATCAGAGGACGTCAAGCAATTTGTCTTCATTTGATGAACGGTAACAGTAGGCATGGAGACACAGACTGTTTGCATCATTTTCGAGGTTTATAAGGATACTCGGATTGCAGAAGAAATTAGAAGTTATAACATAGAATTCTTAGGAATCTGTAAATCTCGGTGGAATCGAAGTGGACACTGACAGGAAATGAAAGCTTATGCGTAGTCATGAAGTTGGGTTAGAATGGTAACAGTGAATAGAGTACAGTAAAGATGTGCTGCTAAGGCCCAATGTTCCGTTGAGAACTCAACGGACAAATAAATAGTAATAATAAGCTTAAGAGCTCTGCTTTACGACTGTAGAGAAGACACCAACTAGAATCTCATGGGTACTTAAACTTAATACCATCAAGGATTACAATATTTTACTTCATTTTAAAGTATGATTTTTCACTGTCAATTTCTGATCCAAGATACACTTTTCATTTTATCAGGGCTTCGTCAGCTGGATGTGCTTTCCTCCACAGTGAGTGGTAGTGTCTCCTATTGAGGTTCAAACCCAGGACCCATTGCTTCAAATACCAAAGTGTTATCCACTGAACCCACAGACTGAGTGACACCTTGCGCAGCGACGAAAAGTAACATTGAGTTCATTCACTATTTAGCGAGTACCTGCAGAAGATGAGTGCCAAATAAAGCGAAACGCACCAAACAAGTAATTTCAAATTCTGAATCCTATCAATATTAAGATAATCATTCAAGTAGCTTATACAACACTAACTAAACTGAAGCTGGTCAGTGTTGCCTGATATATGAACTTAAAGCACAAACATGAATAAATAATAATAATGAAATGAACTAATTGACTGTTTTATAACAACACATGACCTAGGTCGATACTGAAGATCAGATGGGCGGTAGGGCACAAATCAACTAAGAACTAACCTTATGACCAAGAATTGCGTCAGTGAAAATGGAGATGTTTTGATTTGACACTAGTAACCTGTATGATGTGTCTAGTCCTCTCATTCGTGCAGACTAAATTCTATCGGTCAGGTTGTAAAGTAATGACTAGTGTTAAATCAAAATATCCACTACAGCCCTACAGGAGGTAAATCGCGAGCCTGAATATCTCAGTGGTAACGTCTCTGACTGCAGCTCCCACTGGGTGACGCGGGTTCGAATCTCAGAAGGGACATGAGTTCCTTCAAGGTTGCAGATACGCGTTCCTGACGAGTTCCAACTACCACGAAACCTAGGTCCAAGGCTTCTTAACGATCGCCTCCAATCATCTAAAATGGAGATATATCAGGCACACACTGAAGAGATAGCGGAGTCATCATACATCATGCAGGCGTTCTAACGAAACACGAATGAGAAGTGACGAGTTAGAAGTGGGTAACATGGAGAAGATAATTTGAGGAGGAGAAAGAGAAGAAGATGAAAGCTTATGAGCAGTTGTAGAACCAGCTGAAAAAGAGTGCAGAAAAAGAGAATGAAATGCCGATGTTCTGCTGAATCTCTATGTTCTTCTCAGAACCCAAAAGAATAGTAATAATAGTAATAAACTACAGCCAAATGTCATACCTGGGTTATACTCACATTATGGTCAAACATACAGGCGATTTTATTAGCACTCTCGATGGGACTCATATAAATTTCATCGAAACATTCTCGAATCACTTAAAAAAAGTATTAGAGCAGTGAATGGGTCAAGAAACGTGATGATTTATAGTTTTCTTGATAAATTTTTGTGAAGAAACTGATTTGGTCTATCTATGAAGACTCGAATGAGAAATTAGGAGTTTTTTTCGGTACAAATACAAGAACGTTACCATATGTAAGCATACCTTTTAACATTACATTATTTTGTATAGATGGTTTTTTCAAATCACGCACTTTTACTTCAGACTCATCTGATTAGTCTTTAGGGATTTCTCAATGTCATTCTGAATTAGGTAGTTTCCTTTTAGGCTGCTATAGCTTACAGTCATCTAAGTGTGGACAGTTTTGAGCCATATCGCAAACCTTGTCACGAAAGTACTCACTCGGAATCTTCAATCAATGACTTCATGGAATGACTGATACAAACGAAGACAGACACTTTAAATATACCTTGTCTAATAATAATGTCAAAATGTAAATAATATGACACTTGCAACATGAAAAAAAAATTAATATTTACTAGAATAGAGTGAATTTCACTAGATAAATTATGATTTTTTCTTTACAAAAATAGATGATGAGTGACGTATATTTATTCCTAAAGGAATACTAAAGTACACTAAAATCAGACCCTACTTTCGTTATTGTTTAAACTGGTCAATTTCCGTACTGTATTGGTCTAAACTTGTTTGAATCTGTAATGTTTTCGCTTATATATATAATGTCTAACGGAGTATGATTCTGTCTCATGACCCAGATATTTGACATAAAGTCAATCAATAAGTCAATATTGTTATTATTACTGTTGGTATTAATAATACTATTGTGGCCGTTAGTTGATGGTTGTTATTTAATTAATTAATTAATATTATTCTAATCATATAATACCAAATAACTCATATATTACAAACACAATCGCACACAGACAAATACCATTCATTGTTGGTATTATTTATTATTATTATTATTGACCAATTCAAAGTTATATTGTTAAGCATTGAATTTCAAATACGAACTATGAGTAGACACACACATATACAGCTTGTAATATGTCAAAGCAAACAAATGCAATATATTATTGTCTGAGTCATCATGAAATGTGACTGACTGAGTGTTCTATTGAATCCGAATTGAGTATTTTGATTGGTTAATACTGTCATATGTGTATAGGTATATGGATTGTGTGTTTGTACTAGAGGTGAATATATATATGTGATACACACACGCATACATACACATGTCTGATAGACAAGTGATAAATGAAGTGTGTATATCCCGTCAAATTATACACATGACGTTAGGTATATTGTTGTAGATAGTCGTCTTCAATGAAGAAGGAGGTCATTTATCCCAAAGTGTGCTTGTTTCTTTAAGGCATTACGGATTAGTTGAAAAAGACAAATAAAATATACAAACATTTTAGTAAGAATGTTTTATGAAAAAGTTGAAAGTGATAGATTGACAAATATGAATATTGAAAATAATTCTGGCATTATATCCTCTTCATCTTCATGCTCACCATCTCCATCGTCATCTTCAGCATCCACATTGACATCACCGTCATCATCATCATCATTCGGATGTATAGGTAGGTGAATGTTTAACGAGTTAGTCTTTCTTTAATCTAATGATTACATCTACATTGTGGTATAATTTCATAGAAATATCTTGAATACTGAATAAATATGTGTGAAGTATTCATTTGTTTCGTTGTAATTTTTATTATCGTAATATTTAACCTTTTAAAATGGTTATTATTATTATTATTCTTTGAAGGGATACTTGATATAGACTCAATACTTATATTGGATACTATGGGTGCTTCTATTCCTTTCTCTTGGTACAGACTAAATTTTATTATCAGTCAAGTTCACAATGTGGCTGACATGCTACGTGGTTTACCATCATTGTGCCCTCTAAATTGTTATTATTAGATGGTTGAAGGCAATCAGTAGGAAGTTCTGTTTAACCTAGGTTTCCTGTTTGTTGGTATTCATCAAACAGCAAGTCGTATCTGCAGTCCTGAAGGAATTTATGCCTCTTTAGAGACGTAACCATTGAGCTATTCCGGGCTCTTGACTGACTTCCTTTAGGAGTGTATCCATTACAGTCTTACAATGATTGGAGATACGTCTCTCTGATAAGTGATAACAGGTTCAAAACCTAGGTTCAAGGCTTTCTGCCGACTCCCTCCAAGGATCTGTCAGGAATATGCTCAATAACCTTTTACATATGCAAATGAATGTTTCAATGGGATCTTGTTCAAGGCTAAAAGTGCTTAAGTAAGACTGACTGCCTTCAAGATACAAGGTTGAATCAGAGTGAGAGAATCATTGAAAACGAGGAAATACTAAGTTGGGCATAATCATTAGATTTGAACTTTACTGATTTATTCAAGACGATCAGTGTGTCTGTCCACTGATGAATTAATCATTTTCTCATTAGGTAAAGAAGCAACTAAGTATTCTTCAATATTTAAATTATCCTCTAACTAAATCAATATTCTGATGTAAATTACTTTTGAAATTATATCATTAGTCTTCATAATCAAACAGAACATTTGTCTCACTAAGTCTCATACTGCTTAAAATGATGTAATAGATGTTAAATGCGTGCCTTATGTGTAACAGTTATGTTACTATATTATTATTATTATTGTTCCATTGGGTTCCTAGAGGAACATAGGGCTTCAACTGCACGTCTCCACTTGCCACTTCTGTCTTCCTTCTGCTGTACTTTTCACCTGCATCCATGTTAGTCCATACTCTTTGAACTCCTCTTCACACGATCTCCTACATGTCACCCTTGCACTGACGTCCCACTCGGCGCTTCCCTTTAGAGTTCCACTCGAGCAAAGACCTGACGCGCGCGCGATGTCGCTCAACGGCCTCCTCAGCGAGTGTCGAATCCATCTCCAGTCTCTCCTGCATATTTGTTGGGCGATTGGTTTGATCTTGTTTGTTCCCATAGTTTCTTGTTGGTGATTCTTTTTTCGGCCTGGCCATCTGATCTTCAGTATAGAGCGAAGACAGTTGTTGATAAAGGTCTGCAACAGGCTGTTGGTTGGAAATATTCTTTGTGACCCGCCAACTTTCTGATCCGTATAGAAGAACTGACTGACTTGACGTTGTTTGTATTGCAAATTCGATGAAATTTTATTGTTGATGCTGAGCGACGAAGATTTTCCAGATTGATTGTTTCAGGTTGATGAATGTGCTTCTCGCCTTCCCGATGATTCTCGATTTGATATCCTCGTCCGTTCCGACTGCGTGTAGTTCAGACAATGCTCCCTAGATAAGTGAATGAAGTAACCTCTTTCAAATCTCTCCCACTGATGGTGATTGACGCTGGATGTTGCTGCTGTTGTTGTTGGTTGGTTATTTTCATAACATGCACCTTGTCTATGTTCACCTGGAGTCCTGTGTTCGCCGGCTGCTTCTTCGACCAGTTTGTCGGTTTTCACTTGTAAGTCTTCAGTTTTGTGTGACATCAAACATAAATCATTCACACGCGAAATCCAGGTCTTCTAGTTTCTTCATTTCTGTCCAGGATATCCCTGTCTCGTTTTTCGTTTCCCACTGTCTGACGCATAATCCAGTCCACCACAATTAGGAATGTCATTGGTGATAATAAGCCAGCACTCTTGTCTGACTCCTGTGTTTACTCCAAACGCCTCACTGAGTTTTCCGTTGTGGATCTCTTGACATGTTCCATTGTCGTACAGCTGTTGAATCAGGTTGATGAATATTTGGGGTACGCAACAGTATTGTTAAATTGGATATTTATCCTTATACACACAAAAACGACTATTATTGCAACATATTAGCTAGAGTAGTGTGGTATTTAAACAACAGAGTTCATGATTTACAAATTAGTTCTCAATTAACACAGTTCAAGGTGACTGTTTTCTCCTAGTTTCCTTTGGAATCCAAGATTATTCAGATCACACTATGTGATTTCCTTGATACTATAGATAGCAATCGAAAAGCAGAGAATAGATGCATATAACTATATACAACTGATTAATAGGATTCTGCTGATACCACTTCCACTAACCAGTAGTGTTTGCTAGCCAAATCTCAGTGATCTGAATACCTGTCGGCCATTTCAGTCGTTTGCAGCTGAGCTGATCATTGGCGTATCAGATCATAGAGCAAATCTTGCATAAGTGGCACGGCGGTTAGGACGCTCGCCGACCATTCACATGGTCCGGGGTTCAATCTCCGGCCACAGACGCACTCCCTTACTTCGCTAAGCCTGTAATAAGACTAGTAAAGAAGGAAGGTTGGGCATGAGGCTAGCAACCCCATCTTGTAAAATTAAACGCTGCTACAGAATCTTCAAGCCACTAGCTTGAGGCCCTATGTTCCACTGGGAGCGCGAAGGGAAAAAAATAGAGCCAAATCTGTTGAGACCACTTGATTTCTAGCTAGCTGGCAATCAGCCTCAGCCAATCAGTAGTATATTGCTTTAAAGTATTTAAATAATAGGCGATTCAGGTGATTACTTGCAACTAGACTGCTTCATGACATGTGTAATTTGAAGGACGAATAAAATTAATTCAAAATGAATACGGATGGTAAGCTGATTTGGATTTCTTTTAGTTTTTCCACTATCTGAACCATTTTAAACAGATTGAAATCCGTCTAAACTTTATAACATCTCAACTAGTCATTTTCTGACTATCATCTTGTCAATTAAGTCAATTTATTATAATAGTACAGTCGGTGTAGGCACTTTATTTATTGATTATGTTGTCCCTTTATGTTCTGAGTGGAATATAAGGTTTCAAGTTTCACACTATGAAGCTTCAGTAGCAGTAGTGTTATTCTTCTATTTATAGTGAAGGTTTGCTAGCCTCATATCGAACACACCCTCTTCACCGGGCTCAATATCAGAGACTAAGCAAGGTCGTATGAGTACATCAGTCCGGAATCGAACACCATTACACGTGAGGCATGGTTGGAGAGCATTCTATCACCGAACCGCTAGTACAACTCAGTTACCTCAGCATCCGGATTTTTGTTTCTAGTGTTACCAAACCAGACTGCATCAGAAGCACAAGAGAATTATGGAGTAGTTTCAAGAAAACTCTGTCTGCTTCACTAACCCTTCTTCTAATTCTTTATACTTATGTTACTTCTTGTATTCTTCCATGCTCTTCTGCTACTTACAGTTACAGGTATAGAATTAAGTAATACCAAACTTATTTTCAGATACATATTTTTAAAGTTTGAAAGTTGAGAGGAAAGTAAAAATCACCTAGGTGCAGATGTAACATCATTCTGCAGCACGGCGATGACAATATTTTTTCCACCAGATCATCATAGTTTGACATAGCATGTTGCTAAGCCATTCAAATAAAGGGCTGTAAGTGCACTGTAATTCTCAATAGCCTAGTAACATATCTTATATCGTCAACTATTTGGCTCTTTTATTGCTAACTATATGTGCGTTGGTGGTAAAGCAGTTAGGGCACTCGCCGACCATGCACATGGTCCGGGGTTCGATCTTCGGCCACAGACGCACTCCTTTACCTCGCTAAGTCAGAAATAATGCTGGTAAAGAAGGAAGGTTGGGAATGAGGCTAGCAACCCCATCTTGTAAAATAAACACTACTACAGAAACTTCAAGCCACTAGCTTGAAGCCCTATGCTCCACTGGGGGACGTGAAGGGAAAACATATGTATAATGCCATATATTTTATAGGTAAGCTAGTCAACACCTGGTTGAGAAGATATAACACTTGAGTTGATTTCATCTCAGGATGACGGTCTATTGAAAAAAAAGACTTTACTTTAGTATAAACTTTGTAAACAAGTGACGTCACATTTGCAAACATTATTCTTTTGAGTAGATTCTATTTAAGATAATTGCGATGATGCGTTTTACTTTATCAATGAAGTTTGAAAGTTACACATTAAATTCAAGCACTGAGGTTAAGCTATAGCAACCACCGAGGAGCATAGTAACTATAGCTAAATTTCTAAGTGTCGGTTTGCAGGGATTTGATTGGTTTCAGTTGTGACCTTGAAATTTCTTCAATTAAAGAAGAACCATTAAAAACTACCTAGGAGTAGTGAAAAATTGTTTCGTCCTTTTTATGACTCTCCATCAGTACGCACCCATGATTCAACTACCAGGGATCGAACCGTGGACTTACAGGTTACATGTGGTATAAGTAATTCAAATGATACCTTCTGTTTTTTATTTTTGATTTACAGCTTGATTCCACACTGTATTTTCGGTAGAAGTATGGAATTTTCAGCATGGATATCGGTAGCCCAAATTTTGCAGGCCGACCATAGATATCAGATGTGCGTCGGTGCGGGCTCGAACCCCGGACCATGTGCGTGGTCGGCGAGAGTCCTAACCACTGTGCCACCGACGCTCAAGGTGTTTCAAAAAGATCAAGTGTTTGATTATTGCGCGAATAATAGACTAATTTGAATGACTAAAACATGCATCCTAGTAAGAGTCTTGACAGGATAACTTTTCTTATAGGGAGACTGGGAACAACAGAAATATTATGACGATTCTGAGAACACCATGATCTATAGTAATCTGTTTTTGTGATTTTTGTTGCTC